GTTTTGTTTTTTACTTTACCAAGCATGATATCCTTCTCCAGGGAATGGTCCCTTCTGACAACATGACCAAAGTAGGTCAAATGAAGTCTGGCTGTTCTCACTTCCAAGGAACATTCTGGGTGCACTTCTTCCAGGACAGACTTGTTCGTTCTTTTGGCAGTCCATAGTATTTTCAGTATTCTTTGTCAACACCACAATTCTAAGGCATCAACTCTTCTTCCATCCTCCGCATTCACTGTCCAGCCTTCACATGCATATGAGGCAGTTGAGAATACTTGGCTTGGGTTAGGTACACCTTATTTTTCAAAGTGATATCTTTGCTCCTTAACATTTGAAAGAAGTCTTTCGCAGCAGATTTGCCCAGTGCAATATGATGTCTGATTTCCTCACTGCTGCTTCCATTGGTATTGATTGTGTATCCAAGTAAAATGAAATTCCTGACAACTTCAATCTTCTCTCCATTTATTGTGATGTTGCTTATTGGCTTAGTTGTGAGAATTTCATTTGAAGTGTAATCCTTAGTGAAGACTATAGTCTTTGATCATCATCCATAAGTGTCTCAAGTCATCTTCGCATTCAGCAAGGAAGGTTGTGTCATTTGCATATCACAGGCTGTTTGTTAATGAGTCTTCCTCAACCCTGATGCCATGTTCTCCTTTTTATAGTCCAGTTTGTCAGATTATTTGCTCAGCATACAGATTGAATAATTATGGTGAAAGGATACAACCTTTGATGCACACTCTTCCTGATTTTAAACCATGCAGTATTCCCTTATTCTGTTAGAAAGACTGCCTCTTGGTCTGTGTACAGATTCCTCATGAGCACAACTGAGAGTGCTGGAATTCCCACAATATTATCCATAATTTGTTATGATCACACAGTTGAATGCCTTTGCATAGTCAATAAAACACAGGTAAAATCTTTCTGGTATTCTTTGCTTCCAGCCCAGATCCATCTGATATCAACAATGATATCCCTGGTTCCACATTCTCTTCTGAATCCAGCTTGAAATTTTGAAGTGCCCTGACAACATACTGCTGGAACCATTTTTTAAATTATCTTTAGCAAAATTTTACTCAGTGTGATATTAATGATATTGTTCAATAATGTCCACATTCTGTTGGGTCACCTTTCTTTGGAATGGGCACAAATATTGATCTCTCCTAGTTAGTTGGCCAAGTAGCTATCTTCCAAATTTCTTGACATAAACTAGTAAGTGCTTCCAGCACTGCATCTATTTACTGAAATATTTCAGTGGGTATTCTGTCAATTCCCAGAGCCTTGTTTTTCACCAATTCCTTCAGTGCCTTTTGGACTTCTTCGTTCAATACCATTGGCTCTTGATCACATGCTACCTTCTGAAATAGCTGAACATCAATGAATTCTTTTGGTACAGTGTATGCCTCTGTGTATACCTTCCAACTTCTTTTTATGCTTCCTGCATCATTCAATATTTTGCCCTTAGAATCCAATATTGCAATTCAAGGCTTGAATTTTTTCTTCAGTTCTTTCAGCTTGAGAAGTGCCGAGTGAGTTCTTCCCTTTTGGTTTTCTAACTCCAGGTCTTTGCACATTTCATTATAATAATTTGTATTCTCAAGCTACCCTTTGACATCTGCTCAGCTCTTTTACTTCATCATTTCTTCCATTCATTTTAGCTATCTCTGTTCAAGAGCAAGTTTCAGAGTCACTTCTGACATAATTTTGGTCTTTTCTTCCTTTTCTGTCTTTTTAACGACCTTTTGTTTTCTTCAAGTATGATTTCTTCATGTCATCCCACAACTCATCTGATCTTTAGTCATTGGTGTTCAGCATGTCAAATCTACTCTTCAGATGGTCTCTAAATTCAAATGGGGTATAATCAAGATCATATTTTGGCTCTCATAGACTGGTTTTAATTTTCTTCAGCTTCAATTTGAATTTGCATATGAGCAATTGATAGTCTGTTCCATAGTCAGCTCCTGCCATTGTTTTGACTGAAAATAATTGAGCTTCTCCATCACCTCTTTCCACAGATGTAGTTGATCTGATTCTTGTGTATTCCTTCCAGCAAACTCCACATGTATAGCTGCTGTTTATGTTATTGAAAAATGTATCTGCAACAAATAAGTTGTTGGTCTTACAAAATTCCATCATGTGATCTCCAGTGTCATTTCTATCACCAAGGACATATTTTCCAACTACCAATAATTCTTTATTTCCAACTTTTGAAATCTAATCACAGTCATAATCAATACATCTTGTTTGCATGTTTAAAATTCTAGACAAACAAAAAATAACTATCCCCAAAAACGGACAAAGAGGGAAATGGTTTAAAAAGGAGAGATAAATGAGGAAACTCAGGATGGATACCTGTACACCAATGTTCATTCCATCACTATTCACAATAGTCAAAAGGTGGAAACAACCCAAGTACCCATCAAGAGATGAACTAATAAAATGTGGTATATACATACAGTGGACAATTATTATAATAATAGTTATATAAAATATCTATAATGATTGTAATAGAATAGAATGTAATATAATAGAGTAGGTTAATAGAGTAATATTAGCCGTAAAGATAAATAAAATACCAATACATGCTATCACACGGATGAACTTTGAAAACCATATGCATGTGGCCACCACCACTGCTAACACACACCATGGTTTCACACTCTACCATTAGATGGCACTGTTAACTTTGCTCAACTGTGGGTCTTAAAACTCCAACTCCCAGGCTGAGGAAAAGCTAAAATTTATGAGACTTCCACTAAGCAGATAAGATCATTAAATTATGGCAAGTGTATCCTCTATATTTCAAAGGGTAATGTAACCCCTACAGAAAGAATATTGAGATTTCTACTCTTTACAAATTCTAATAATATGCTCTACCAAAGAATGCTAAGGGGATGATTAGGGGAAGCACAAGAAAGAGTAGGAACATTTTTTTAAAGAAGAAGATTGTTGTTGTTGTTAGGTGCTGTTGAGTTAGTTCCAAATCATCCCACTGCCATCAAGTTGATTCCGACTCACAGTGACCCTATATACAACAAAACAAGACACATCCTGGTCCTGTGCCATCCTCACAATCTTTGCTATGCTGAGTCCATTGTTGTAGCCACGGTGTCAATCCAACCTGGTGAGGGTCTTCCAAAGGGAGGAGATTACATCAGCATTATCCATAATAGTCAAAAGTGGAAACAACCTAAATGTCCACCAACAGATGAATGGATAAACAAAATAAGGTACACTGATACAAAGTAGTATTTATTATTCAGCCATAAAAAGAATGAAGTTCAGATCCATGCTACAACATGGATGAACCATGAAAGCATGATGCTGAGTAAAATAAGTCAAATACAAAAGGACAAATATTATATGGTCCTATTTATGTGAAATGTCCAGAATGAGTAAATCCATAGAGACAGAAAGTAGATTCGTAATTGTCAGGGGCTTGGAGGAGGAAGAAATGAGGAGTGACAGGTAATGAGTACGGATTTCTCTTTGGAGCGATGAAAATATTCTAAAACTGACTGTGGGGATGACTGCACAACACTGGATAAACTGAAGGCCAATGAATTGTACAATTTAAAAGTAAATTTTACATTACGTGAAATAGATCCCTTTAAAAAACCTTTTTTTAAAGGTAGGGAGGGGCTTTCTGCCTCATCCAAAAACCCAAATCTATTACCATGGAGTTGATTCCAACTCATAGTGACCCTATAGGACACAGTAGAACTGTTCCATAGGGTTTCCAATGCTGTAGTATTTACAGAAGCAGACTGCCATTTCTTTTATCTGTGGAGTAGCTGGTAGGTTCAAATAGCCAATCCTTTGGTTTGCAGGCAAGCATTTAACCACTGTACTACTAGGGCTCCTTTTCTGCTCCACAGGGCCCCATCACCAATAAAGAAGTGTCATTGGAAGGAGATCCACATAAAGTAAGGAGGCAACACAGAGAACAAAGGCTTTACTCCTGTCCACTGGCCAAGACAGGAGCTTAAGAAAATATCCAGTCACCTCCTGTCCGCCATTGCCAGAGGTCAATACCCTAGCTTCCTCTGTAAGTGAGGAAGCTATCATAGGCTTACAACCTAAGTTCTAGGCTCCCCTCGCCATCCCTCTCAACCCAAAAGGAAATAAGCATTGCCATCATCAACTTACCATACTAAAGAAGTGTTCTAGGAAGTCCTGGTACTCCTTGCTGCTCACATTGCAGAAGCATTCTGAATACCTGACGTTTGCTATTCGGACTTTTCCACTGAGTTTCTGGGCAGCTGGGAGGTAGAGAGTAAAAATGTTCACAGTGTACATATAAGGTGACAGACTACCATTTCAATATTAATAATATCCCTTTGGCCACGAAGAACATAAACCTAGGCTTCCCTGCTCCTGGAGCTCACAGACACAACACCCAGACCCAGGCTCACAGCCTGAGGACAGCAAGCACCCTCTAGCAGTGTGCACTGCCCCTTGGAGAACACAGCTACCAAATCTTGGGCAGCTACCCTGCAACATCACACATGTGCTTGCTGCTTGGTTAAGTTAAAGCTTAAGAAAATATCCAGTTTACAAATGCTATTGGGGAGGAAAGAATTTTACCTGACTATACAGCTATCAATAAGGCTCAGCTTCAGCTCTTTCAGGTCTACATTCGATTTGTACATTTGCTCAATTCTCTGGCTGTGTGGTTCATGCCCTAGTGGGCTGATCACAGACTGTCTGCCTGACTGCCTGCCTGTCCAACTGTCTACCATTTTCCTTCCTGAGAGTAAGTGCAGGCCCACTGAAGGGGTGTTAGGGGATGGATACAGCTCAACAGAGCTCCTACATACATTTCTAGGCTGCAGATCTGTGAGGACATGAGTAAATGAATGTCTATAACCACTGCAGGCAAAATTTAGAGTGCTTGACATTGGGTCTTCTTCACCCACAGGCTCCCCAACATCTTTTCTTAAAATAGTCAGGTCATGTGTTATTAATTGTGTCCCCCAAAATATGTATTAAAGTCTTGGTGTCCTGTACCTGTGGGTGTGATCCTGTTTATCTTTTAAGTTCATGCAGTCAGAGTAGTGGTGGGTGGATTCTAAACCTAATCATTTCTGAGTTCTAAAAACAGAAGAACAGACGCAGAGACACACAAATTGGGAACATAGATGCTATGTGAGGATCATCAACAAGCCAAGAATTTCTGGCAGATACCATAAACTAAGAGAAAGGCCCATATAAGGAATCATAGGCCAAAACTCTAATTTGGACTTTTCACCTCCAGAACTGTGAGAAAATAAATTGGTGTTCTGCAAAGCCACCCACTTGTGGTATTTCTGTATAGCAGCACTAGGTAACTGAGACTGCATATCTGGCAGTTGCATCCCAGCTAAGTGTGAAGTGAACCAGACATTACTGCCTTGAGTAGAAGACAGAAATTCAGTAGCCCTGAAACAAATTCAATTCTTTTAAAACCTCGATTCACCTAAAATCTCTTTAATGCATTTCTTTTTTTCCCTTTAAGAACAGTGAAAAGTGCTACTGGAACACATTACCTGTTCTCACTTTCAAGTGTGCCTTAGCATTTTCTTTTCCACATGCTTTGTCCACTATTGCAACCACATACAGGACGCCAGGCTCCAGTGCTAACAGTGTTAGACTTGTGTTCTGGGTCTCAAGGTCCAGGGTGAGGTTTTGTGTAGAAGTCAGGGTGAGCTGAAAAGTGGGACTCAGGGTAAGATCTGCCTCCCACATGACATGGAAGCTTGTGCTGGTCACATTGGAGACTATGATCCTTTTGATGGGGTTGGGAACTGGGAAGTGGAATAAAAAACCTTTAATTAAAATCCATCAAACTGTTTCAAGGAGAAATGTAAAGAGTTAATACTCCCCCACCCCCAATCCTGAAAATCATGTATTAATGCTGGTGCATCACTGCTTCCAATGTCATAATATAAGGGCTGGACTTTAAAGTCATTATCAATTAGAAATATTTACAAAAAAATGCTTAGTTGGTGAATGTCAGTGTCCTGATTTTGTCTCATCTTTCCCTAAGTTCGTTGTTGTTGTTGTTATGTTCACACACCAAATATTAGCCCCAGGTTTTTGTCAAGTAAAGGTGACAATGGAAACCACACTTCCTATTTGCAAATATCATCCATGAAACAGAAGTGCCAAACATGCCAGATGAAGGCAGTAGGGGACGATACCACAATTTCTCAGACCTTATCTCAAATCTCTCATGAAGTTTCCACCCTTGGTTATTTTAAATGCAAAAGCCCCTAAGGAGAGCTTCTCTCCTCTCATCTAGGAAGAATCTGTTGCAAAGAAAGGCTTTATATCTCAAAGGGTTAATGCTCAGAGTTGCTCAGGTGACACAACCTCTTCAAGTAAGGGCGGGGGGGGGGGGGATGCAGGGAGAGGAATGGTTGCCAGCACATGGACTTAGTATCTTACCCCACTCTGGATGTGGATGTCTCAGGTGGCACCACCCAGAACATCCTCTCATTCCCTGAGTCTCCTAGGACAGCATTTCTGCCCCTTGGAATAAAAGTAAAGTGTTCATATTTTGGTTTTATTCAGGGGGTGATTCAAACATGCCCATGAGGTTCCTGTTGTTGTTGTTATGTGCCGTCGAGTCGGCCCCGACTCATACTGACCCCTCCTTGGGTTTCTGAGACAGTATCACTACGGAAGTAGGATTGCCCAACCTTCCTTCTGAGGAGTGGCTGGTGGGTTTGAACCGCCAGCTTTCTGGTTAGCAGTCAAGTGCCTTAGGCACTATGCTACCAGATCTCCTATGAGGTTCCTAGACTTCCAGAAATAAAAGCCCTCTTGGTCTGGTTCCGGGCAGCTCCCTCAAGGAGCTGGTTATTTGCAATGCCCTGGATCTACATGGGCTGACCACAGGCAGATGTGGGCAGAGACCATCCTTGCAGAGGGACCCTGGGCCTCTTGCTGTTCTGCATTGTGGGCTTCAGCATTCCATCCCAGAACTGCTTAGTGGAGGCAATGCACTGATGGTAATCACATCTAACAGCTGGTTTAATTTGGAGGAAGACAGGGTGGGATTCCTTAGCCAGCTCACAGCAGAGGTGCAGAGAGGCCCAGGCTCATGTTTCACAGAACTGTCACTTGTCTCTAAGGTGTCACTGGGGCCTTGGCAATGGCTAAAGCCTCTTCACACAATGTGGACCTGCTGGGGGCTCATGCTGCCAGGGGTGGCATAATACTGTTGGTGGTACATAAGCTGCTGAGTACATAGGACACATTTGAGGGTGATTGACACAGGGGTGTGTGATACTGCTGGGGATACATAGCACTACTGGGGGTGTACTTCAGTGTGTATGCACCTCATATGACCCAAAGGCTCTCCTAGATGGCCAACTTCCTGCCTGAGATGTTTCCAAACAAGGAGGCCATGGTATGGAGGAAAAGGCTAGAGATACAATGAGGTGTCCTTGTCCTAATTAACCCAGCAGTCTACCACTGGGTGCATGGCCTCTCTGAACCTCAGCTTTCTCATCTAAACATGCGAAAGGTCCCAAAATATTTCTGAAAGGTCCTTCGACTCTACAACTGTATGACTCTTTGCAACTTGGAACTGCAAAAACCATGCAGTTGCAATCTCCCTCTGAACTTTTCCTGACTAAGCCCAGGATAAGCTCTTCGAGCCACTCACCACAGGCAGGGGTCTCTGGAAAAGCAGGGCTGGAGGTCAATAGCAGGCCTGTGGAGTTGGAGGGTCCAGGGTCCAAGTTCCATGGCCACATGGTACTCACAGGAGTTGGTGATGTGTCCTGTGTAGGGGGACTGGGGTGCCACACTATGTGGCCTGTGGGACCCACATTAGGAGTGAGCCAGGAGCTGGGCTCCACAGTTGAGTTTTGCTGGAAATACTCAGTGAGGTCCAGCAAGGTGTCTGTGGGCCCTAGAAGGGAGCTGTGGGTTGATGTCGAAGCCTTGGTGCCAGGCATCCCACCCGTCCTCCATTGGTCTGTCTTCAGGCTTGAGACTGCAGTGGGTGCCTCCTGCTCCACTCCATTCACTGTGCTGTTCCTGTCCTGCCCAACTATGCTGCTGTCATTCTCACTTCTGGGAGGGAGTTCTGCAGTCCAGGTTTGGTCTATGGCTGGTGTGTCTAGCAAGGCAGAAGTCCCAAGAGTGGACCTGCCTGCAGCTACTGTGGTACCATCAGCAAATGCTTCTCTTCCAAGAGCTGGGGTCATCACACCTGTTGTTGGAGGCAACACATCTTCTGTTGGGCTCATCATCTCACCTGCCAAGACACACATCCACTCTCAGACATCTGATCTACCAGGTTTCTCTTGAGCATCTGGTCTACCCAGTGGCAGCTATGAGAAGCTTCTCAAGTAAGAGTGTCCTATCTGAGATGAAAACACAGACCATCCAACAAGACAGCACCTGCATTTTCCAGTAGACCCAAAGTGGGGACATTGGTTCCCTTGATGGGTATTTCTGAGTTTTTAATGGGATCCATGTTTACAGTCTCCCCAGAGTCCTCACAGGAGACAGGAAAGATGCCCCACTTTATAAATTACTTGGCTAAGATCCTGAAATGAGATCCACCTCAGGGTTGCAGAACCAGGTTCTCACAGGCCTCAGATCAATTTTGGGAAATGGAACAATTTGTGCTCAGGTGGAACTTGGTGCAGGTCACTCCCATCAGCATATTGGACTTTTCAGTGAATATTAAAAAGATAAGAGAAAATAAATTGTGGCAATATACACATTAAACACAAGTTTTAAAAGGAAAATAGCTATTCCCCATGGGGATTAATTCTCTACTGCTCCTTCCAGCTTTTCTGGGGATAGAAAATGGTCTCCACTCCCTATGGCTGTGTCCAGGGCAGATATAACTAGCTGAGCAACAGCATTTAAGACTGGGTGTGGCCTCCTCTTGCTTCTCAACTCAACACTCCAGACAGCCCTGACCAATTGATCAAAACTGACTCCAAAAAAGACTTGTGGCAGAGACACACCAAGACCGGGATTCAGGAGATCGCACATCTAGACACTGTCCATGCTCAGCCTACCTGGGCTTCATGACCTCTCAGGCTTGTAGCATATAGAAAGGGATTCCTCTCTCTCAGGGCCACATTATGGCCTCCTTGAGCCCCTTCTTACATTAAGAAAAAAAAAAAAAGTCTTAAAAATTATATTTTATAATTGAATTGAGATAAAGATGAATAGAACTAGGCTATATGCATTATTATTATTATTATTATTTATTATTCATTATTATTACATTTGGAGTCCCTGAGTGGTGCAAAAGGGTAATGTGCTTGGCTGTTAACTGAAAAGGTGGAGGCTCGAGTCCATCCAGAGTCACCACGGAAGACAGACCTGGCAATTTACTTGTGAAAAATCAGCCACTGAAAACCCTATAGAGCACAGTTCTATTCCGACACATATTGGGCAGCAAGATTTGAAGTTGACTCAACAGCAACTAGAAAATTATTATATTAATTTCTTTCTTTTGGTTTTAAAAGAAATTAAAGTCAAAACATTTCCATCATCTCTTGAAAGAGCTGTGGGTCCCAGGCACTGTACCTTCTGTGTCTAGGGGAGAAGCCAGCCCTGTACCCCACCCCCCTAGTCCCTGAGGCTTGGAGCACCCACCCTCACAGGTCCGCCCTGCCCGGGAAGGGTTGATGTCCCTGGCTGTTTGACACCGGCAAGTGTAGGAGCCCTCGAGATTGAGGCACTGGGCAGCAGCCGAACAGTCATTCTCTCGGCTGTCAGCACACTCGTTCCAATCTGCCAAGAGGAAGAAAGACAGATGGAAGTCTGGTCAGAAAATTGAACCACAAACTCCCTTTTCCTAACTGGACTTTGCAGAGAAGTGCTAGAGCAGACAGTCTGAGGGACTCAGGCAAGCACCTCTCGTCTCCAGCATCCCTGGAGGAAGGGACTGCATGAGAACCTCCTTTGTAGAAATCTGTATTTGAACTCAGAGGGCAAGCTATTGGCCAGGCATTGTCTTATTAGGGAATATGACAGTTAGTGCTGTATGTCATCATAGCTAGGCTATGGTGCCCAGTTTTTGGTCACAAACTAGTTCAGTTGTTGTATTTACATGTGACTAACATTTAAATCTGTCAACCTTAAGTAAAGCAGGTTACCCTCCATAATGTGGATGGGCCTCATTTAATCAGCTGAAGGCCTTAGGAGCAAAAGCTGCCTCAAGACTAATTAGACCTCCTACTGGAGTCTCTAGCCCACCACCTGCTCCATAAATTTTAGACTTGCCAGCCCTCACACTATTTTAATTCCTTAATACAGTCTCTATGTCTGTCTATACCTATCTGTCTATCTATCTGTCTTAATGGTTCTGTTTCTCTAGAGAACCCTAATGGAGTCAAGGAGCAAACATTAGGGAAAGTTGTTTGGTAGTACAGTAAAATCTGTGAAAGCCAGAACTTGTGTAAGGTGGAGACCTGTCAGAAAAGGAAAATTCTGTTTTCCACTACAACAGCAATAGAAAAGTCAATAAGAATGCACCTGTCAAAGGAGGAAAACTTGCAAGAACAGGAAAAACAAGGCAGGCAATCCTGTTGAATTCTGCCTCTCACAGGTTTCACTTTATCAGGTCCCAAAAGTGTGAATATGCTCCTGCTTATTCTAGACTCAAAATGTTGGGATTTTTTTCCATCTTTTTAATGTACCAACACCTCCCTAATACTTGGTGTTTTGACCAAGTGTGGTGGTTAAGTTTGTGTGTCAACTTGACTGGGCCTGGTTGAGTGGCTGGGCAGCTGGATATAGTATTCCCCATGATGAGACTGGCAATCAACTCCATGGTAGAATCCACTGTGAACAGCTGAGTAGCTGCCTTTGGGTAGATGGACTGTTTCCCATATAGAAGAAACAGCTTTGGGAATGGTTTCTAGCATATGGCACACTTGGACACTGCATGTAGCTGTGTCATTGTTCAGCAGCCTGCCATGCTCTGCCTACCATGGGACTTATAATGGGCTTGAATTAATGGCCTGCTGTGTGGTTTGGTAACATTGGGACTGTGCTATTTTATTTGTCGACCTTGGGCTTGTTAGCCTCAGCAGTCAGTAGTTGCCTGAGTGAAGAGATGCCTCTAGCTTCAGTGAGCTGTAAGCAAGAGGAAGGCTGAGGAGCTTTCACACAGTCCCTAGAGCCTGGCACTTTGAACTCGGACTTTTAGCCTCCCAAACTGTAAGAGGGGATGTTTGTAAGGCCATCCCATTTGTGGTATATTCTTGTCAGGGTGGCACTGGGTAACCATAACATCAAGAAATAGAAAAATATTTGACTCAGAAGAGTCAGGTTAGGGACAACATGAACTTTGAGGGTAAGTTTAGATTGTCCTGATGTCTCAACAGGTATAAGAATTACCCTTGTGTGCCCTCTCCCCATGTCCAGGAAATTATTTTAAGAGCCCAAAGATTCCTCATGTTCCCAGAAAGTCATAGCCTTGCTACTTGGGCAAGGAAGTATATTAAGTAACTTCTCATTCTAGTAAATACCCCCAATCTCCCTCACCCTCCTGCCCATGCCCAAGTAACCCCCACATTTCCTAACCATCTGTCAGCCAGGACTGCCATGAAGCCAAATTGTGAATCAGAAAATTCACCAAGAACACCGTCCCCTTCTCTTTCTCTCACCTCCTCTTTTCCCTTCTGGTTCCATGGTAGTTTCCTGCTCTAAGAAAAGAATTAGATGGTGTTTTGGTTACTTCTAGTGGGAGCTCTGGTAGCATAGTGCCTAAGGCACTTGACGGCTAACCAGAAGGCTGGTGGTTCAAACTCACCAGCCACTCCTCAGAAGGAAAGTTGGACAACCTACGTCCATAGTGATATTGCCTTGGAAACCCAAAGAGGGGTCACTATGAGTTGGGTCTGACTCGACGGCACATAACAACAACAACAAGAGTGCTGCTCTGACAGGAATATACCACAAATGGGGTGGCTTTAACAAACAGGAGTTTATTCTTACAATTTTTGGAGGGTAAAAGTCTGAGTTCAAAGTGCCAGGCTCTAGGTGCTGGGTAAAAGCCCCTCAATCTTGGGCTTCAGCTCTGCCTCTTGCTTCCAGCCCACTGAAGCTGAAGGCTTTTCTTCTCAGACAGCTGCTGGCTGCTGAGGCTGACAGACCCAAGGTCAACAAGTAAAAAGGCACAGTCCTAATATTGCCAAACAACATGGTAGGCCACTAATTCAAGTCCAGAAGAAGTCCCAAGATTGGCAGGGCACAGCAGGCTGTTGAACAACGACTGTGCTACATGCAGGGTTCAAGCATGCCAAAAAGCTGGAGACCTTTCTCAAAGTTGCTTCTTATACACTAAAAGCAGACCACATCCCTAAAGCAGGGACTCGGCAGCTCTAGTAGATTCCATCATGGAGTTAATTACCAATCAATCTCACCATAAGGAATAACTACATCCAACTGCCCAGCCGCTCAACCAGGCCCAGCCAAGTTGACAACAACCTTAACTACCACAGATGGTCTCCTATACATCATCATATGACTAAACTATAAATATTGTGTTGTTGCTGTTGTTAAAGTTGTTGATAGTGGCCATGCAGGCAGCTCTGACTTATAACAACCTTATGTTATAACAGAACAAAATGTTGCCTGGTCCTGTGCCGTCTTCATGATTATTGGTGTGTTTGAGTGCATTATTGTGGCCTTCGTAATAATGCATCTCATTGAGAGGTCCCCTTATTTTCACTGACCCTCTCTTTCATTAACCATGATGTCTTTTCCTAGCAATTGGTCTTTCCTGATGACATGCCCAAAGTAATCAAGCTGCCTTCATTTCTAAGAAGCATTTTGCTTGCATTTCTTCTAAGACTGATTTGTTAGTCCTTTGGGCAATCCACAGTATATTCAATGTTCTTTGCCAACACACAGTTGGAATGCACTGATTTTCCTTCCGTTTTCTTTACTGTGTTATATGCAGTACACATGCAATCAAACCTTACGGAATACGTGTTTCAGGTGTGGAGGAGATGGGGTGAGGGACAGTTTTTCTTTGCCGCTACATTTCTGTCCTTCAGTCCAGAGCCAGCCCTGGAGGCACTGTTTGTCCTGTGCCCCTGCATGGAAGTAGGACAGCCACCTGCAGGGTGAAGGATGCTTGTTAGCTGGAGAAGCACTTTCAACAGAGCTACTTCAGCTGGTGGTGTAAGATAGGGCACATGAGGGATCGTGATTCTGTGTGTGGTGCCCTGAGCCAAGACCAGTGAGGGTCTAGGTGGCTGTGAGCCCTACTGTACAAGTTTCACAAAAGCTACAGTCAGAGGTCAGAGGTCAGTCAGTGCTTGGGGTCGCTATGACTCGGAAACGACTCGACAGCACTTAACAACAACAACACAGTCAGAGGTGCTCTCAGGAGCATGCCAGGCCATGCCCAGGGTGCCAGTGACCTCAGACTTGGCTGCAATTTAAGTCAAGATAAAGGGCTCATTCAATTTTTTCCAGAGTCCCTGGGTAGTGCAAATCATTAACAGATTGCTAACTGAAAGGTTGGAGGGTTGAGTCCACCCAGAGGTTCCTCAGAAGAAAGGCTTGGTGATCTGCTTCTGAGAAGTCAGCCACTGAAAATACTATGGAACACAGTTCTACTCTGACACCACACAAGATCGCCATGAGTTGGGGTCAACTTGATGGCAACTGGGTTTTTGTTTGTTTGATTTTGTTTTCCATTTTGTTCAGAGAAAATTGCAGCAGATTGCACTCAGAGATTCACTTGTGATTTCTGGCTTTGCCTCATGCAGTCTTCATAAAAACAGCTTTTACCCAGGACCAGCAAGTTCATCAGCTGATGCAACAGTTTCCCATGTTGTCCCAGGGCCCAGGAGAGCCCCTTTGCCTCTGAGCCCTGCCAGTGCTGTCCTGGGTTTTCCCATAGTGCTGCTTCACCGCCACCACCCTGTAGGGGGTGCATGGCTGTGCACAGACCAGGCTGGCTGGAGAGCAAGTCTCTGGAAAGAGAGCAGGGGCACCCAGAATGTGGGCTCACACCACCCTACCAAGTAAGTGATGTCTGTTTTTGATGTGTGACCCTCACCCCCCTCAAGCAGAGAGAAAATGAGCAAGCTCAGGGAATGCCTCAAATACCTTTATTTAGTCTTTTATGAAAGCCTAGTTCAAAGGAAGGAGGTAGATGTATGAGTAGGCAGAGCTTCTGAATCAGCTTTCTGCACCTTCCTGTGTTAGTGGGGGCAGATGCCTTGGGCAGGGATCTGTGCTCTGCTCCTTCCTTGTCTACACCTGGAAATAGGAATGGCCCAGGTCCAGAAACCACAACCCCCACCTGAGCTGATCCCATCAAGAGGCAAGAAGGCCATGGAGACAAGTATAGAGCCCAGCATGAGCCAGAGCTCCTGGGCCCCCATCTGGGAAATGGGCAGATTGCTCATAGGTTCCAGGCTGTCTTCTGGGGCCCCAGGGTGCCCTAGAAAGTGATGCCCTAGGCCAGAGCCTCAGTCTCTCCTGGGGTGGGAAGGTCCACTAGGGAGAAATGCTGGTATTCAGGAAACTTGATTCTAGAATACCCTGCACAGGAAGTTAGACAAAAAGCAGCACCATCAAGTTCAGGGAGGAAAGCCTACTTTGGTTAGTTAGTTCAACACCAGGCAAAGAAAGTGGGAACACTCCCAGAACCAGGCATCTGATGCTCATGGACCTTCTCCACAGCATCCAGAGGGATGGGGAGGAGGGACTGTGGCCATGATGTTACTGGGAGTATGAAGCCAACTAGATGCTTTGGGGGCCCTCTGAGACTCACCCTGACTCCTGTATGGGAAGGGCTACCTACAAGACCCACATGGGGGCAGTGATGATTCAGTGGAAAATTCTCACTTTCCATGCACAAGACTAGGGATGTACTCCCAGGCAAAGTACCTCAAGTGCAGCCACACTTGCCTGTCAGTGAAGGCATGTTGCTAAGATGCTGAACAGGTTTCAGTGGAGCTTCCAGACTGACAGACTAGGAAGAAAGGCCTGATCCATTTCGGAACATCAACCAATGAAAACCCTATGGGACATAATGGTCCAACCTGTCACTTATCACTGGGATGGTGCAGGACTGGGCAGTGTTTTGTTCCATTGCACATGGGATCACCATGAGTCAAGGGCCAACCCAACGACAGCTAACAACAACAGAAAACTCAGAGAACCTCACACAGAGAATAATATTGTCATCAGTCTTGCTTCTTGGGTTGACATCCATTGTTGTTGTTGTTAGGTGCCATTGATCGTTTCCGACTCATAGTGACCCCATGCGCAGCAGAACGAAACACTGCCCGATCCCGCGCCAGCTGCATGATCCCTGCTATACTTGAGCCCATCATCACAGCCACTGTGTCGATCCATCTTGTTGAAGTCCTCCCCCTCTTTCATCAACCCTCCACCCTACCAAGCATGACATCCTTCTCCAAGGAATGGTCCCTTTTGACAACATGACCAAAATAGGTGAGACGAAGTCTGGCCATTCTCGCTTCCAAAGAGCATTTCGGATGCACTTCCTCCAGGACAGATCTGTTAGTTCTTTCAGCAGTCCATGGTACTTTCAGCATTCTTCACCAGCACCACAATTCAAAAGCATCAACTCTTTTTCAGTCTTCCTTATTCATTGTCCAGCTCTCACATGCATACGAGGCAATTGGAAATATCATGGCTTCTGTCAGGTGCACCTTAGTCCTCAAGGAGATATCCTTGCTCCTCAGCACTTGAAACAGTTCCTTCGCGATTGACTTTCCCAATGCTACATGTCGTCTAATGTCCTGACTGCTGCTTCCATTGGCATCCATTGCAGAACCAAGCAACGTGAATTCCTTGACAACCTCAATCTTCTCTCCATTTATTGTGATGCTGCTCATTGGTCCAGTTGTGAGGATTTTTGTTTTCTTTATATTGAGACATAATCCATACTGCAAACTGTATTCTTCAACCTTCATCAGTAAGTGCCTCAAGTCATCCTCACTTTCAGCAAGCAAAGTTGTATCATCTGCATATCTCAGGTTGTTAATGATTCTTCCTCCAATCCTGATGCCACGTTTTTCTTCATATGGTCCAGCTTCTCGGATTATTTGCTCAGCATATAGATTGAATAAGTATGGGGAAAGGATACAACCCTGACGCACTCCCTTCCTGATTTTAAACCATGCAGTGTCCCCTTGTTCCGTTTAAATGACAGCCTCCTGGTCAAGGTACAGGTTTCTCATGAAATCCATACAGAATATTAAAATGAAAAGTTGCCATAGAGATGCTTCATAGAAGCCCAGGTGATTATATTTACCTTAGAGCAAAGGACTATTATAATATCTTCTGAGAGCAGACTAAGAGAGGAACAGGGGTAGGGGCAGTGGTGTAAGAGTGTGGTAGTGAAATTTGTATGTCAACTTGGCTGGGCCTGGTTGAGTGGCTGGGCAGCTGGTGGTAGTTACTCCCCATGATGAGACTGGCAATCAACTCCATGGTGAGATCTACCACAAGCAGCTGAGTAGCTGCCTTTGGGATAGTCTCTAGCTTATGGCATGCACGGACCCTGAATGTAGCTGTGGCATTGTTCCATAGCCTGCCATGCTCTGCCGACTTTGGGACTTACAATGGACTTGAATTAATGGCCTGCCATGTGGTTTGGTAACATTGGGACTGTGCCATTTTACTTGTCAACTGTGGGCTTGTTAGCCTCAGCAGCCAGTAGCTGCCTGAGTGAAGAGATGCCTCTAGCTTCAGTGGGCCGGGAGCAAGAGGCAGAGCTAAAGTCCAAGGTCAAGGGGCTTTCACACAGCCCCTAGAGTCTGGCACTTTGGACTTGGACTTAAAGCCTCCCAACTGTGAGAGAATAAACTCCTGCTTGTTAAGGCCATACCATTTGTGGTATATTCTTGTCAGAGCAGTACTAGATAACCAGAACAAAGAGCATGAATTTAAAGAAAAAGATGTGAAAGAAGGGGCCCTATGAGAAGAACCAGGGGACCCAGGGGATGCTGGAGGACCTGCTCCACCGAGAATGTATCCTGGAAATAGATATTCATCCTAGAGAAGCATTAATCCTAAGGGTTGGATGTGACAGCTCATGTGCACCCTTGCCTTGTGCTAAGCCCTGTGCTAAATTCCACTCAAGCATCATCATGTGATAATCATCATGAATTATATTATTTACTCAACTACCTGAAGAGGTGGGATGTTACGATAATCTTCCCATTTTACAGATGAGGAAACTGAGGTTCAGGGAGGTGAGATAACTGTCTAGGGTCCCATAGCCAGTGAGTGTGAGAGCCTGGATTCCATCTGTTCTATCTCATTCCACAGCCTGTGAGCTCACTGTCTCTTCCTGTGGGATGGCACAGTAAGGAGGATAGAATAAGGAAGCATGAGCCAAATTCAGGGCTCCCGGCACATATGGCATGCTCTCCTGAAGGAAGACCATGAGCACAAACCCAGACAAATGACCACCCCTGGAAACCACCAATTCCCCATGGGTAGGCCTGGGAAAGAGATGAGATCACAAAAACATGACGCCTACGCACCAGCCCTTCACCATCAGCCTCTACTTTCAGGGATGCAGACATGTTAGAACACTGGCAGCGAGTGCTCCAAAATAACAAGATGTGCCAATGGTGCCAACAAGATTATAGAAATAATCTGAGCAGCAGAACAAAGACCATTCCTTCCTCTGAAGAGCTTTTGAGTAGCGATTTGTTGCTTTGTGCAGAATGGCATAAATGAGTTGTTCCTCTGTTACCTTGGTCCCAAAGGTGATGGGGGCTTTCTCCGAGAGCAGGAACCCAGGCCTGTGCTGCCTCCCCTTGCTGGGGGCTACAGACCTAGTGGTCAGCTTCTGTGTGTGTGTGTCTGTCTGTCTGTCTGTCTGTCTCTCTCTCTCTCCTTCCTTCTCTCTCCCTCTCTTTCTCCTGCTTCTATGACTTTTGAGCACTTCATACCTCAAGGACTCCAAGTACAATAAATACTGCTTAGCCTACTGAAATAGACCCACACATTAGCACAAGAAGGTATCTACCCAGAGACTACACCCTCTTGGGATCTTCCAGCCAGGGTTTCTTTCTGTGTCCTGGGCCTGCCATAGCTGACAGGTATTATTACAGAGGGAGTAAGATCAACTCCAGCTGTCTGGATACCTTCTCCTAAGTAGGGTAACCAGGTAAGAAATCCAAGTGAGATGCAGCAAGTATTCTCAGTGTTTTAGGCCTTGGGCCTACGTTGCCTGGTTCTGGTGGAGAACACTGACCAAGGATTTATATTTCATTTACTTTATTTATCTTTTTGGGATAAAGTCAGCTTTGACCCAGAATGATATAGCCCAGAAAATGGAGGGGGATCATGGCTCCACACTCCAGGCCTGGGGAAGAGAACCTACCTTGCACTAGGGTCCCGTGTTGGTCTACTTGGAACACTGAGCTCGCAAACAATGGTGGGAGCATGGGAGACAGCGTGGAAATATGCACTGAAGACTCGGAATCTTGCACTGTGAGTTTGAGCTTCACAATCACACTTCCAGTTTGGAGCGACACAATCTCCATGCGCAGCTTCCCATTTTTGTACAAGTCAGAAACAGCTGGAGGGAAAGATTGCTCAACCTAGCAAAGAAGAAGCAACAACAACTCAGATAGAACATATATTTCAATCAACATCTTCAAAACCAATGACCAGAGACCCAGATGTGACCAATGGAGGGTACATAAGATCCATTTTTCCCCTTTGAGATCAAAAAGAGGTACCCAGCAGCTAACCTATGAAGGGCAGGCAGAGATGCCCTCCTGACCCATTGCTCCCCAACTGGGCTCTCCCTGGAATAGCCTGGCCTGGGCCTGGCATTTGTTGGAGAACTCACAACAACCCCGGCAATCAAGCCCCCAACAAAGGAGCATTAAATGACAAAGCTTGTCTGGGCACCCTGAACATTAGTATGAAGGTAATCTGTGTGTGAGAGAGTCAGAAAGACACACCATTGGATTGATTGGTTGACAAGCAGGGACCATCAAGGAGCAATCCTTATGACTACTTGAAGTTATTCCTCCACATACACACCCGTAGTGGACTGTATCTCACAGGAAACACATAGACAGAGGGAGGTGCTCAGGGTCACTCAAGCCCAGACAAGTGAGACATCAGCCTTACCCCCTACCTTCCTACCCCTCTGTTCCTGACCACACAATGGAATTAGCACAGAGAGGGAGGGAGAATTTTCTAAGAAAGTTCAAAAACTGATTCATCTGGATTGAATGTTGGGAGACTATTTTCCATGGATCTTGTGCCCTATCTTGGGAGCAGAGACATTATAATTACCCTTTTGTTTCAGAATATCTTTTCAAGGATGTCTGTATAGTGAACAGCCTTGGAAGGTATAGTGTCTGCCTCCAGAGCAATTGGCAGATCTGCTTACTGTCTACTATAATAAAGATATCCTTCCTGGTATCTCATGCTCAGCTGCTAATCAAAAGGTTGGAGATTCAAGTCCATCCAGAGGCACATCAGAAGAAAGGCCTGGTGATCTGCTTCCAAAAAATCAGCCATTGAAAACTGCATGGAGCACAGTTCTAGTCTGACACACATGGGATTTCCATGAGTCAGAATCAACTTGGTGGCAATTAATGTTTATAATAAAGATAATGACTCCCTCTGGAGCAAAGTTTAGGCAGGCTTGCTAGCAGCAGCCCATTATAAAAGACTCAGGTTCCTTAAGCTTGAGGTTCTTCAGCTGTAACATAAACCCACTGCATGTATATCATTCATCTGGGCCCCTCTGTGTCACTGCCACAGGACATATAGGCAAGGGGAGCTAATGTGAACATGAAGTTCATGCTACCTGTTGAGCTGTAAGTAATAAAGTGCTTTGTCTCTGACTCAAGAGTCTCATGTCTTCTGCCAGCATCTGTAATCTGTGGCAGGCTGACTGGTTAGCTTGCAAAAAGGATTTACTCTGAGACCTTTCACAGTTCTTCAATTTAGTAAGTCATTCTCTCCTCCAGTACTTCATCCAAGGATAGATGACACTTAACACTGACCTGGTTCTTCTAGATTGTGTGTTGATGTCTCCCTTTAGCCACAAGGGAGGAATGGGTGCTGTGATCACTAGTAACTGCTTCATTAATGAAGCTACTTAAAAGCAGGAAGGTAGATCACCCAGATCTCACAAAAGGCAGGTTCAACAGAACATCCACGTGTTCAATCAAGCAGTGCAACCCATTTGAATCAAAGGCATATATTTCAAAGATAGATTGTTCCAATCTAAAATTTAGATTAAATAACCCATAAAAATGAATGAACACTTTTGTGTAATTACTGTGCAATTTAGGTTTAGCTTCCCCTGAAGCTGTGATAAAATAAAATTTTGCTGCAATAAGACTACGGTTGGGCAGGTATTGCTGGCTTGTGTTTGATGTTCTCCCTCAGAACTCCCTGTGCCTGTGCTTTGGTTTTACCTCCTGCAGCAACTCTCTAGAAAAGTCCTGGTATTCCACACTACTGCGGTTGAGTAGCCTCTCCGTGAAGTTGCGGTTGATGATCTTTATTGTGACTTCAAATACCTGGGCATCTGAGACAGACAGTGATGCAAATAAAAAGTCACACACTTTTATGTCAGCATTTTCCATAAAATCTATCCAGTTAAGGAAAAATTAAATATATATATATATATATATATATATATATATATATATATACACATAAGCAGGGGAGCATGGGTCTTTTAAAAGACAGAAATTTGTTGTTTCACAGTTCAGGAACATAAAATGAAGAAGCATGGCTCTCAGGGGAGGCTCTTTGTCTCTTTCAGCTTCTGGTAGCTGCCATGTTTCTGAGCTTGTAGATTCATCTGTCTCTGTCCTCACATGTCCACATGTCATCATGCCCCTGTGAGCGTGTCTGTCTATTCTGCCCTGTTTATGAGACACCACTCAGAAAGGATTAGGTTTAGGACCATACTACTCTAGTATGACATCAGTAATGTAATGAAACAAAAAACCCTTTTCTTCCAAACATGGTCACATTCACAGTGCAGGAGTTAGGGTTTCAACCTGTTCTTTGGAGGAAACAGTTCAATCCATAACAGTCTTAGATTATGGCAGCCAAGTTGGGGGAAATCTGTAATTGGGATTGACCTGACAGCAACTGGTTTTGGAACAGAGTTTAATGTATTTGCAGGGTGCAGAGAAAGTATCACATTGGGGATTCCAAGAGCTCAAGCTCAACCCTCACATATGGGTGACTTTCAAGTAAGTAATGCCCTTTCTGGTCTCAGTTTCCTCAATGGGAAAGAAGTGCAGCTTCCACTTACTCCCTAAGTATTTTGGGGAGAATAAATGGGAGAATGAGATGGAGCCTTCCAGATCAGTGGAACCAAAAAAAAAAAAAAATCCCACTGTCATCAAGTAAATTCTGACTCATAGCAACCTTATAGGACAGAGAAGAACTGCCCCATAGGGATTCCAAGGTTGTAAATCTTTGCAGAAGTAGACTGCATCATCTTTCTCCCTCAGAAGAGCTGGTTAGCAGCCTTTGGTTAGCAGCCCATTGCTTTAACCGCTATGGCACCAGAAGCACCATGCAAATTTAAGAGCTCGTGTTTTGAGTGGCTGGGGTCTTGCAGGACCTCTAGGGACCTCTCCTGCTAGCTATGACCATTTAGTATGGGATCAGCCCCAAACCAATACATAAAGTGTATTTGTTGCCATTGTTAGGTGCCATCAACTCATAGCAACCTTATGTACAACAGAATAAAACATTGGCCAGTCATGCACCATCCTCACACTCTTTGCTATACCTGAGCCCATCATTGCAGCCACTGTGTCAATCAATCTCATTGGGGATCTTCCCCTTTTTCACTGATCCTCCACTTAACTAAGCATGATAAATAGTATAGGACCATCCTATTCTAGTATGACATCATTAATGTAACAAAACAACAACAAAAAAAAACCCTTTTCTTCTAAACATGGTCACATTCACAGTGCAGGAGTTAGGGAAATATCATTGGGGATCTTCCCCTTTTTCACAGAGGGTTGCTTTTCCCTTCCTCCTTTAATGTCACTGCCATTTGTGCTGATCTTTATGCATGAGACAGACATCTTCTACACAGCAATTCTTTCTCTGCATCCTCTTCTGAGCCACCGAGCTGGGACTCTCCAGGCTGGGGCCTTCACCTATTCCAAATCAAGGACACATGTATCCGGAACCTTTGGACCAGAATGTCTGCTGTCCCCAATATCACATACACTCACACCCCAAAGTCACAGGGTCCCGTTGGGGCAGAATGTTAATCACTCATGCCTAACTGGACACAGGTATACCAGCCAGGTACTGTCTGTAACCAGATAGAGGGCACAATGAGCTATGGGGCAGAGATGGGCCAGACCAGCTGCCTTTCGGAAACTGGAGTTCAAGTGTGTATTGATGTTGCTTAGGAAAACAGTTTCCTCATGGTACAAATGAGTGTGCATTGTATTAGCTCTTCAAGTGTATCATTGGGGAAATGAGGCATGCTTCATGAATATTTTAATGAGAGGTTCAGCTCTTTGGTTTTGAAAGTTATGTAGACCCTGCCACATGTGACCAAGAGTGGCAAAAGGTCTTTAAATGCATGCAAACTGCTACCTTACCACACATTTTGCCTTACCCTATCTAAGTATGTTATATATGTTGTCGTTGAATCAATTCCGACTCATGGCAACCCTATGTGTTTAAGAGTAGAACTGTTTCATAGGATTTTCAATGGCTGTAATCCTATAGAAGTAGATATCCAGGCCTGTCTTCCTAGGTGCCTCTGGATAGATTCAAATTGCCATGCTTTTGGTTAGCAGCTGAGTACAAACCATTTGTACCACCCAGGGGCCTGAATATGTTATGTCTTCAAAATGAGATGGAATCTCTACAGAGCCCCTATCCAGTCCTCACAGACGTCAGAATAAGCCCTGGCCATAAGAGATGTGCAAAAGTGAGGGGAGCCTGTGACAGTCAAAACTAGGATCAATGCTCAGAAGGAGTTTGAGTCCTCATATTCCCCCATGAGGAACTGTGGGCTGCACAATTACTTCTTGTGCCCTCATTATAGGAAGAACAAATATTTGAAGTTCTAAGAACGTAGAACTGGGGTAGAAAGTATTAAGGATTGCATTGGATCCCAAAAAAAGTTATGTTGAAGTAAGTCTTAACCCCCAATACCTGTGCATGTGACAGTTTGGAAACAAGATCCTGGCAGACATTATCAGTTAGATTTAACATGAGGTTGTATTAGAGTAGAATGAGTCCTAATCCCCTCTTGGTAATGTTCTAATAAAAAAGGAGAAGAGACACAGACAGAGGAAGCTGTCATGTAATGATGCATCTATAAGCCAAGGAACGTCTGAAGTTGACAAAAGCTGGCAGAGAGGCATGGAATGGATTATTCCTTAGATCCTCAGAAGGAATCAACATGGCCAACACTCTGATCTTGGACTTTCAACTTTCAGAACTGTGAGACAATAAATGCCTGCTGTTTAAGCATACACACTTTGGGATATTTTGTTACAGTAGCCCTAGGAGACTAAGACAGAAAGACCAAATTCAAGAGGCAGCAGGTGGCTTTCTGCCGAGTGGTTATACCTGTTCTGACAGTCAACATGGCAGCGATGTCAGCCCCACACTCCCGGTAGCTTGTCTTCACACCATACAGCACTCCAGCCTCCAGCCCCACCACCTCCAGAGTCGTCCCTCTGGTCCTGGCACTTCTGACTAACTCCTCGCCCTTATAAACCTGGATGTGGAAAGTGCGGTTCTGGGT